CTCGCGGGGTCCGCCTCGGGCTGCTCCCTGCGCTGCGCTCTCGCGGCCCCGCGCCGGCGCTGCGCTCTGCGATGCGAGCCGCTGCGTGTCCAGCCGGGGCTCTGGCGAGGAAACTCACTTCAAAAGCCGCTGCACCGAGGGGGAGATTAAAGCCTTTGCCGCCTTCCAATCAAATGGGAGCCCGAGGTGATTGGAGGGTCAAGGGGATGTGACGCGTCCCGCGCCGCCGCCGCCGCCGCCAGGACTCTCAGAGCTGGTTTTAATGGGCAGCTCCCTCTTCGCCGCCCCCCCCGTGTGTCCCCTCCCTCGATTTCGCTCCGAGGACGAGACGGACATTTATTCTACGTTTGCCATGCGCCGCCTCCCCTCTTTTTTCCTCCTCGCCGTTCTTCCTTTCCCCAGCTCGAAAATAAACTGAAACCTCCTTTTGGAGGGGGGGCGAGTGAGGAACAGACTGCAGGGGTGTCCAGGAGGAGCGCCGGTGGGAGTGTGGACACCGGCTGGACCGTCAACTCCAGGGGCGCGCGGGGCACCCGCCCACCCAGTGTGCTTTCCTCCTCAGTAATTGAGACCCCGCGCGGCGCGGCCACCAGGGTAAGGAAAGTGGGGAGCCGGAGCCGGAGCCGGAGGAAGTCCGCCCGCCCGCTTCGATTTCCTCATATTCCGCGGCGGAGAAACCAGAAGCTAGATGGGCAGCGGAGGCGGCGGCGGCTGCTCCACACCGCGGAGCGCGCTGGGCTCTCCGCCCTTCCCGGCCACGTGATGCTCGGGGACGCGTAGATTGGGGCAGGAGCGGGGGTCACATGTTTCCTCTGTTTCACACTCCGTCTCCCCCCCACCCCCCAATCTTACTCTCCCCTTCCACCCTCTCTTTTCCTCCCCCCTCCGTTCTTTGGGCATCTCCACCCCTCCATCAATTGTCAATGTTCCTCGACCGCAATCAATCAGTTATTTGTCAGCTCTTGTCAATCCGCCCGTGATTTATGTCAGCTTTTGTTGCTGATTACAAGGCGGGTGCGACTTGAAGGGAAAAAGAGAGAGGGGGAGAGAGACGAAATAGGAAGGAAGAGACCGAGAGGGAACTGGAGGGGGGGGAGAGAGGAGCGGCCTCCTGGGATGGGGTGGGGGCGGGGGGGTGACTAAGAAAAAGAATGAAAGAGGGAAAGAAGCGCTCAGTGTTAGGAAAATGAATAGTGAGAGTAAAGTGCGCAGGTGCGCCCGGGGCGCTGAGAGGGGCGCGCAGGCCTGGGGTGCGCGCCTCCCCTCTCTGCGTCGGAGAGAGGACACCCTTCCACCTCTGGGGCTGCGGTCCCGCGGAATTCAGGCACGGCTCCGGGCACCTGAGGCGGGCGGTGGCGACGTCTAACACGGGAGATTTCCCACCACCCCACGTCATCCCACTCCGGCAGCCCCTCGGGACGAGGAGCGCGCGGATGTCAGTCAGGCTGCCACCCGGCGACGAGCACTCACCCTCCGTAGTAGCCCGACCCCAACTCGGAGACTTATTTCTTAAGAGCCACGAAGTAACCTCAGTGCTAGAGGTCAACAGTGGGGCAGTCCCCCCTCAGTGCTTGACCCCCCTCAGATCCTAACCGGGGCTTAGAGGCAGCGAAGAAGAGGCCTGGCCGTGGGTGTATGGGGGAGAAATGCCTCAGGTTCACTCATACCCTCTCCCCATCCTCCCCCCAGCCCCCTCGCCGCGCCATCTCCGCAGGCTTGGAGACTCGGGGCTGCTCGCTCGAATGTATTGGAAGGCCGAGCCGGGACTGACCTGCGCCGGGAGAGCGGATGGAAGGAGCGAGAGGGGGGGGGGAGGCTGCCTGTGGGAACGCGAGCTCGTCCAGGGAAGCGGAGCGGGACTGCCACGTTCCCCTCGATTTGCACCGTCACTCGGGTTGTTTGGAAAGCAGAGGGGAGGCGCAGTGCGTGCCGCCGTGTACCTGGGTCTGGGTGCACAGTGTGTGTGGATGCCTGTGCCGCTGTGTGAATTCTCGCGGCTTTGGGAACGTCCGGAGTGAGTTCGAGGGTCACCTCCCGAAACTCGCAGAATTAGGAGGGGGCGAGAGGAGAACATATCCCCTTCCGCGGAAGGACTTGGAAGACTTTGAATCTCCCCTCCCCCCACTTTTCCGCCCCGGCTCTTCTTTTGTTGTCAAGTCCTTTTGATAAATGGTGGGGCTGGGAGCTCTGGGAGCTGGGAGTCAGTCTGTGCCCGCGCGGGGGTCGGGGGCCGAGCCGGGGACCGGGTTTCCACCGGCGCGCACTCGGCGCTGAGCCGGGTACGCGCGGGAGTCGGATCTGTACTCTGTCCAGGGCGTGCTCACCCTCTCCTCTCTTCCTACCCCACTCCCCTCCCCCTTCTGTCTCTGCCTCCCTCTCCACACGGGTACAGATAACTTTCTGGGGTGAGTTTTGGAATTTTCTCGTAGGCATTCTTTTTTCTGCGTTTTAATGTTAGCCCTTGATTCTTTAGTTTGGCAAACTTTATGAGATGGTTACTTGACTAAAGCTACTTTGGAGAGAAGAGGGGAGTGAGTGGTGTGTTTGGGGCCTGTGTTTGTCAGTGTGAGTGCGTGTGTGTGTGTGTGTGTGTGTGTGTGTGTGTGTGTGAACACACCTGCATTCGAGGGGGTTTCTGTGCGACACCTGAAGAAGGTGCGAGGTCTGAATGATCTTCGGGGAGCGAGTCCCAGGTGCCTGTTTCTGAGGGCTGGACAGTCCTACGTTGTCTCTACGGGGCAACGTGTCTGGGAAGCCGCTCGTATCCTTTGGGTGTGTCAGTGTCTGCCTGTGTCGCTGAGTGCACAGGCGTCTAGGTGTCACTGGGACCAAGACCAACCGCAGCGCTCCCAGCGCCGCGAGCCCAGACTTGGGCCGCGTGTCCCCGCGAGGCCTGGGCACTGAATGCAGCGGGGGGACTGCGACCCAGCTGGGGGTGACCGCCGGGCAGGGGCGTCCCTCCCCACCCTCCAGCCCAGTCTCCAGACGCAGCTTTCTCCCTCTCCTCGAATTCTAGCAGCCTTCTCATCTCGGCCGGGCCGCTCAGGGGAGGCAGCCCCAGCACCCAAGGCCTGGGAGAGCCGTGGGATGGCCCCCGAATCCCCGGGGTGGCCGCACACGCTCGCGGGACTGCGTCGTGCGGCGTGGATGTGGGTCGTGGTCAGCGTGCGCTCGCTTTTCTCCGAACTCCACTCTGAAGGTCCGAGCGCACGGGGGCGCCTGGGGGCCTGCGCACCCCGGGCTTTCGGGAGGTGCCAGCGTCCGAGCCTGTGCGTCTCACGCTGGCGGCCAAACCCCCGAAGGCCGCGCGGGCCAGGGGGGTGGGGGCTCTTAATTACTCCGAGCTAGGCCTAATGCCTCCAACCCCCAGCAGCGGCTGGCGGGGATGTCCTGCGGATTTTATTTGCACACAATGGAAATGATTTGTTTTCTTTAAAAAAGGAGTGGGCTTGGCAGATATTTGAGGAGGGGGTGGGAGGAGGAGAAGGAAGGGGAGAGAGCCGAGGAAAAAAGTTTGAAAATGCCTTGAACTATTCACTGTCGAGATGGCTAATCAGTATTGAGGCCGGAGGGCAGGCGGGCCGCCTTTCACCGCCGCTTCTCTTTCATCTCTGGCTCGGCGGAGGCGCTCAATTAAAAGCCTATCAGTTTGTAAGTAAATCAACGCCTATCAGAGTTGTCACATCAAACAAAACGATTATTATTGCAGCCCGCCTCCCCTATTAATCTCCCTCGAAGATAATCCGCCTGACAGGTCAGGCCCGGCGAGCTGGAAAGCCTGGCCCAGAGCGCCCAAACAGTCCCGGACTGGCGCGCGCCCCTGGGGGCCTCCCCGCCCGCGTTCTGCCCCGCCTTGCGGTCCCCGGGGAGAGGGAAGAGAAAGCGCGCGCGGAGGTCGCTGGACCTAGGCCCACCCCACCCGGCTGGGAGCAGGGCCCAGATTCGCGGGGCCTGGGATGGGGGGTGTGTGTGGAGGTCGGTCCCGAGCGGCCCTCGTCGCTTCTCAGGGCGGGGGAGGCGCCTGACGGGCGGGAGCCGAGGCCTGGCCTGGTCGCGCGGCCTCGCCACGGCCTGCGCTCTTCTCGACTGGCCTCCACTGCCTCTCCATTTCTTTTCCCCTTCTCTTTTCTGTTTCCTCTCCCACTTCTCTCTTGGCTACCTACCCCTTTCCTTCATTTCCTCTTCCTTTTCCCTTTTCTTACTTGCCAGAGAGTATTTCCTATTTTCGCTCCCTGCTCTCGGTACTCTGTTTTAACCAGTTGGTGCGCACACTCTCGGGAGCAAAGGCATTCTCAGGGCCCGGGTTACTTCTCCCGCGGCTGGTTTGCCTCAGGAGTGTGTGGAATTCCCAGGAACTGATGACAAAGTCCTCCCTAATTTCTCCCCAAGCAGGGACTCTTAGAAACTCTGAGCCTGTTTAAGGGTTGGATACGTTGGAAGGGGTGAAGGGGG